TAGTCCACAGGCTGTAGCTCACCGACCTCTGGTTAAGATGACTGGGAAAGAGGGCAAGAGGTCTTCTGGCAAGAACAACATGAGCAAAGGCCTGAGCTGGCATTGTCAAAGTAACTCAGGACAAACCTCTATGAAAAGAGTGGGTGGCTCAGGCTCAGCAGATGGCATCATCATACAGAAAAGATTGAGTTAAAAGGTTGGCAGTAGACAGGACCCAGGTTTGAGAGTCAGCCCAATGCCCACCCCAAGGCATCATCTTTTCTGTAGGCCAGAGCCTACAAACTATGACAAGACCCACCTATTTCTGGGTTCGGGTTCCAGCAAGGAGATGAGCAAAAAGAGTTAGCCTGATGGTGCAGCTAAGGAGAACCCAGCTTCTCCGGGAAAAATGCCAGATGAAGACAAAGTAAAGCAAAACACCTTAGAGTCTACATTTGCTAAGCCCTTTGCTACTATGAAAAGGCAAGCGTGCTGGGACTGAGCTAAGATCTTCCTGCCTGGCCAGGGCATGTAGGCATTGGGCATATGCACATACATTTGTGCAAAGTCTTCTATGCAGAAGAAGCAGTTGGTTATCTATCAGATGGACAAACGCATCACTTCTAAGGACAATGCCCGATTTGTCCACCTTTAGCAAATGACTCTCTGCTATAAATTTGGTCAGACTACATATTATCCATCCATTCATCCATTCTTCCACTCATCCATCCTTTCATTCACTCAGCAAGTCACTGTTGTGGTTACAGGTTTGGGCTCTGCCCCCAAAGGATAATCCCAATGGCTGGAATCCCCAAAAATGAAGTCAGCAGCACAGTGGGATAAAGCCCCACTTAAAACTCTCACTGACCCTGCAAAACAGTATCCTTGGAGCTTTGCTAGGATGGCCAGTGGCTTCCTTTGCCATCCCAAGTGGACTTGGCGGGGACTACAAGTTTAGGGGCTTCGTATTTAAACAGAGATCAAGGACCTTGTTGGCACCCACCCCTTTGCACAGTGCCTCAAGATTCCTCCTGGTGTCCTCCTAGCACCCCAGGAGATCAAACGGCATTGCAGCCCTGCAAGCAGGTGGCTGCAGATATGGCAAGAAAGCTGCCTTTTTTTTTCAGGTTCTCAGAGGAACTGGTCCACCAGGAACTTTGTTGATAGGCCCAACTTTGCAGATAAACTTTGTCTGCAGAACCAAAGGACCCTGTGTTATTATGCTGAACTCCATTAAAATGCATTTGCATAGTGTATGTGTGTGTGTTGTGTGTGTGTGTGTGTGTAGGGTGGGGAGAAGCATGTATATTGCAGCCTGGTTCACACTTACCACAAACAGGGAACTCTGTACCTGGAGCCAATGGGTGAAGGTAGAAGAGAGTTCATAAACCCCCCAGATAGTGTGTACAAAATTTGAAAGACAGGCTGCACAGCCTTCAGCGGATTCTCAAAGGGGTCTGAGACCTCAGGGAGAATAGGAATCCGGGCTCCAGAAGGACTTGACTAGTGACTGCAAGGATCCACTCCCCCAGCCATCTTGCCGATCTCATTTCATAACGCCCCAGGCCCTTGCTCTTGCCAAGACACACTGGCATGCTGCCGGAGAAGGCAAGCTCTTGTCTGAGTCAGTTCTGCCACCTACAGCACACAGCCCAGCAAGGCTAAGGCAGCTCTGCTTTCTGCCAAAGCCTCCTTTGCATTCGTGAATAAAGGGAAGGCTGCTCTTTCCACCTGGGGAACCTGCCACTGGAAGGAAAATGGCTTTGGGGACTCCTGATTAGTATTCAGAGATGCAAACTCCTTCGGGGAGGGGTACAGCGATGGGAAGGAATTTTTTACATTAAAGGGGAAGGGATAAATCCTGACAATTAGCACCTGAAAAGAGTGTTACCCAAACCCGGAGAGAAAAGTCACCTGCAAAAAGGAATACATAGTAAGCGGATGGGTTTTCACGTTAAAGGCAGCTCTCCCGGGTCCTAGCGTGCACGTTGCTGACAGCCCTCTCTAGGAACGCACTGGCCGTCTTTGCCATGCAACTTGTCATATAATGAAAACACTTGCTGCAGAAAGAGGCGATTTCCTAAGATGCTTGAAGTGTAAATACAGGGTGGTTTTTTAAAATATGCATAAACCATTTTTAAGACGGCTGAATACTCATACTCGTAGAGGGCATAGATTGTGTTATTTCATCATTCTGTCACCAGCACCTAAGCAGAGTGCCTGACGCTTAGGAGGAAGCTCAGTAAATGCTGGTTGATTTAAAGTAGGAGAAATGTGGTTTGTTTTGCAGTCTGCACCGTCCTTACTAATACATAATCATAATGCCAACTGTTTATGAACTCTTATGTGTAGGGCATATTATCACAAATTCTCACAATATACAAGTGGGTACTGTTTTGCAGGTGAAACTGAGGTACTGCATTATTAAGTGGTTTGCCCAGGGGTGAATGTGCACCTAGTGACAAAGTCCAAATCCATACATTGACCTCTCGGCTTAAAAGTCCATTCTTGTTCTACTCCACCATGTATTTTGTAACTTTATATCCTTGGTAAGCTCATTTCTCAAGAATGGGGAATGGATGAAAGGGAATAGTTTGAAAATCTTTTTAACATTTTTTTTAATTAAAACAAATGTTTGCCCAGTCCTTAGAATTTCTCTGAAAGCTTTTCATACTATCCTAGCTTAATAATGGATGCAAACATCTACTGACCCTGTCAGAATCTAGCTGTGGTTCTTCTTTGATGGATAATCCATTCTTATCTCTATTTGTAAAGATGATTGTGGAATCCTCCTCTCCATTTGGTCTGGTGATCATCAGAGGCTGGGGAGATTGAGGTTGTCCACAGCTTACACATACTTTGATTTCCAGCAAAGAATCCTTAATGAAGCCTTACAAACACAGAGTGTACACAGTTGGGGTACGGAGTTAATTGCACAAGAATACCCCCTCTTTCACAGGTTTTTTTCCTTATTAGCATGTTAGGTTTTAAAAAGGACTCTAAAGTCAGCAAGAAGATAGACAAGATGGAAGATGCATCCTCACTAAACAGATCTCATTATTTTGCAGCCTCATTCAGAAGCATTGAGTGGCTTTGTCTCTTAGCTCACACTGTTGGTGTAGCTCAAGTTTTGAATCTTATTCTCTTCTTCCAGAGAAACTACAAAGGGAAGGGGATTGCAGATGGCCATTAAGTGGGGTTAGTGGTTTTGACAAAGTTCAGATCACTGATAGGTAAAAAGAGCTGAGGATTTATTCTAGCTGAAGATAATTTTGATGATCATGCTTAGACTAACAAGAAGAAGTGCCTGTGAAAGCCAGAAGAGGTGAAAAGTGAGTGGAATTCAAGCTGGAAACCCTAGGGACTATGTGTCTGCCTTGCTGTCTATATGGGTCTATCCTAAAGCCCATCATATGGAGGAAATGGATCTCGAACTTTAGTAGTATTTATCTGAATTAGATGGGAGTATGCTTTTTAAAAATGCAGATTCAGGGCTCACCTCTTGACCCAGTGAAAGAGAAAGCACAGGGCCTGGAAGTCTATATTTTAAATAATCAATGCATTTGATGGAAGTAGTCTTTAACTCATACTTTGAGGAACATCGACATAGGAAGATCCCCCCATCTTTCCAAGAATCACTCCTTAAATGCATCCATTCATTTGAGCCAAACCTAGGAACACAGAGATAAAAGGCAACAGTCTTGGCATTCAGATAGTTCAAGGTCCAGTGGAAAATACAGACTTGGAAGCAGATGGTTGCAAAATGTGAATGAGCAAGCAAGCTCATGAAGCAGAAAGGGCTGGGTGCTAGGGGAGAACTTGAGAGAGGACACAACTCAACCTGCATAGTCAGAGGTGCATCCCCCAGGGAGGAAGGCCTAACAGAAGCAACTTTGTGTTCAAGAATGAGTGGGCATTAGGCAAGAAGAGGGGAGAGAAGAATTCTGGGTAGAAGGAACCCAGTGGACAAAAAGCAGTGTGGCTTCAAGAGAGATACTCAAGGTGAGGAATGGCAGAAGAGGAGGGGATAATAAAAAGGATGGACCAATGAAGGTAGAGATTGCACAATACCTTCCATAATAAAATCATGTTTTTTGAAATGGAACCGTGCACTGCCAATATTTGTATCACTGTAATTGCAACAGAAATGGATGCATCATTCCAAGTTGTGGGCTTTGTCCTCTTAGATACAGTCCTCTCAATGCAGCAGTATCCTGATAAGCTTCCAACTGAGAGAGAATTCAAGAGAGTCCAAGGCAATCCTAAACAAATTTGCCTTCATGTTTCATTCATTAATATTTGTGATCAGATGTCTTGGACCAAAGTAAAGCTAAAAATCCAACCAAAGAAGGGAAGAAGGCAACTGTGCAGAACCACAGAAAAAGCTCCCATGCAGAACGAACACCGGAGTGTTACTGACATTATCATCATGTGTAAAATACAAATGAGTGCATGAATAAAAATAAAATAGTGTTCTTCATGGGCCTTTACAAGAATTAGGATCGAAAAAGTACCTGTTGTTGCCACTTTGTTCTGCAAAGCTTGAAAGATGGCTTTCACTGTCACATTATCTACATAAACCAGCATTGTAATGCACAGCGTGTGGTTATACAAACAAGAACAACAGCAGAAACCAGAGCAGAAATCAGAGCATGCTGTGCTCCATGGAAGAGAGCTTTTTTCTTTAACCAGAGAGAATCATTTGAATTCAGAATAGAGCTACATATATCCGCCCAGCAGTCTGTACGGAATGAGTCTGTGGGTATGTCTGTATGTGTGTATGTGTGTGTGTGTATATAAATCACATTCAACTGTAATATATATAAATGATAGTAAATTAAGTGGGCATTATCAAGTGTTGATGACATTTCTTTTCCTGCAAACTTGTATAGAGAAAATCAAAACCAGGGCAAAAAAGAAAAGTATCCTTATGCGTTCTAATTGATTCCAGCTGTTAATATTATTTATTGCAAATAATATTATCAAGCAGTGAAACGCCAATGTCTTTGAACTCCTTTCAGTTGTGTGTAATACTGGAGCCAATGCAGGAACTGATGTCAAGACATAAAACTTACAACCTCAGTCCACGAGACTGCCTGAAGACCTGTTTGTTTCAGAAGTGGCAGCGGATGGTGGCACCGCCAGGTACGACCTTGTTCTTCGGTCTCATTCCAAATGCATTTTCTGAGGATGAAGTGATGTGAAAAGGAAATGATCACACATTTATCAAAAGTAGTTTATTAGGATATTCTGACCATGATTTTGGACTTAGAGACACTGAATTTGTGAAAGAACACATCCTAGGTATCACCTACAGTCTCCCCACTTGCCAGATTAGGACCCAAAACCCAGAGAAATAAATTGACCTATTTAATGTTACCAAGAAGATCTTTGGCAAAGCCAAAATCAGAACCAAGTTTTCCTGTCTTCCAGACCAGTGGTCATTCTACTGGACAAGACTGAGGGCTTCCCATGGACTATTGTTATTTTGTTTGTTTTTAAAAACAATGATAGAAATTATGGAAAGGATAGAGAAAGGAAGGAAGGGCAGGAGAGATGGAGGAAGGAAAGAAGCAAGGAAGAAAGGCAGGCAAGAAGGCAGGAAAAATAAATAAATTTTGCTCTATTTCTTAAGATATGTAATGTCAAAGGGTATTCTGATCATGAGGAGAATACATAAAAGATTCCTTCTCCCTCAGATCTCTAGAATGCACTTTACATATTATAGTCTCCTGCTGGGGTTCTGAAATTACTGCTTCAAGTCATCATTGTCTTTCTGTCTAATACATTTTTACTCCCAGGCGTATGTTGAGCCTCATTGATCATAAAACCAAATGTATCCATTTGCTAAAAGTTATTTTTATAAAGAGTAATTATTAACACGAGGCACATAGCTTTCTGAATCACAAAATATAATGGTCACCTTCTGCTGGTAATTGGCCAGAGGTTTTACATAAAATGAATATAGTATATTTAACCGAGTACATATTTTGAAAGCTGAGAAAATGAGCATTAGTTTACATGGAACAGCTGCATCCCCATCTTAGGGGAATTTTTGACATTTAGAACACTTTTTTTCCAAATATATTAAATGTGCTTAAATTGGCCTTATTTTCTCTTTCAAAACTAATAAGGCTTTATGGAAGAAATATATTTCACTCACTGAATACTTTGAGCACCTATATTTTCTAACATATGCATATGTAATTTATATACTATTCATTAATTCAGTCATTCATTCAATGAGCTCCCAGTTGGTGCCAGTCCCACTCTAGCCACTGAGTGTACACATTGAATAAAATAGAAATCCCAGCCCTAACAAACCTTTCATTCTCTTCATTCTCTTACTGAATCCTCACAATAACCTTATGAGATAGTTACTGTTATTCTCATTTACATAATGGGGCCTGAAATTTAAAGTAGTAATTTGCCAAAGTCTATCTCATACTTAATCAATGAAGCAGGCCTATGTCATAAGTTTTTATGTCTCCAAAGTTTATGACTCGCAACTATCAACTGCCAATGGGAATAATACGGGGTGTGCAATTTAGGTATATTGCCCCCAAGTTTCATGAAGAAAGTACAGATATTTTTTTAAAAGCAGATTTCAGTTCTTGAGGTCAAAGGAAGAAGATGCCTATCAGAGGAAACCTGCGTGTTTGCCTGACTTTAGAATGTGCTACTCATTTCTTCTCTATTTCTTGTTTCCATAACCTTCAGAATAAGCACCTATAACTCTCTTTGGATAGAGCTATTAAGCCCTTTGATGGAAATCTTTGAACATAAGAGACAAAATATTTATGAAAGAAAAAAATGGCATGTAATAGGGACATAATCCCCTTTTCTTCAAAGTCAGGGAAAACTTGGTGGATTAAGTGGTCTTTGAAACAAGCCACAAAGGAGAACTTCCCCATCACCCATTAGAAGTGGCATAGGGTTTTGAGAAAATACTACAGGCCCTCTCACTTTTAGTTCCAATATGGCCCTGGCTTACCTTCTGTCCAACATAGTTGGGTCTAGAATAGGGTTAGCACAGAGGATGCTTTTACATGCCATTTCCAACTTCTTTAGTAACTGCCTGTAAAGGCTTCTGAAGATTTCTCATTTACAAAGCAGATTATAAAAGTACCTAATCAATAGAGTCACTATGAGTATAAAAAGTTATGACATAGAAAATATTAAGACTATGAAAACATTAAGAATATGGAAACATTGAGTAATGCTCACATAACAAATAAGTAACATTCCTTTTATCACACATTATCATGGGCACCTGGGCTTCTGGTAAGACATTGCCAAAATTTTTGTCTACTTCTAAACAGGATTTTCTTGAAAAGATCTAGCTTCCCTTCATTAATATGCTGGCAATAACATACTAAGACCTTTTTTTCCCCCAGGAACTTTGAAAGTAGCATCCTTTAAACATCAGTGTCCAAACCATGGAACTTGGAAACTATACTGAGCTTGAGAATCCCTAAGTTTCAGATTCACAGCTGATAGAACTGGGGCTTCCTCTTCTTTTCACTGGAGCATTTCAAGGTGTAATAGAGCTGAGCTGCAGTATTGACAGTTGGCCAGTAGATGCTGCAGTTCCCCAGGTTCATTGATTTAAGATTATAGTTTCTCTAGTACCTTGAAGACTCCCTAGGAATCCCAGAGCCCTCCTTCTGTTATAAAGAAAAGGTAGTCAGAGAAATATAATTTATCAAATTTTGTAATGGTAATAATATTTTTAATTCAACTGTGAAAGTAGCATTTGTAGCTCACCCCCAAAATACGATAATAGATTACAGACACATATACAGAATTAGGAAGAACAATCAAATACAAACCTTTTTACCTAAGTACAAAAGAAAAGAAGTGTGCACTTATTTTTATTTTGTGCTGAAAATAAATCAACAGCCTTCTCTTTTTATGTTTTGCAAAATTAGAAGAAATGGAAACATTTTAAAGAGGCTACCCTTTTTAATTTCCAAAAATAGCTATTGAAGGAATAATATCCTGATGGTTGCCCCAGAACTGATCCTCCTTCCATTTTCCATATTGCAGCAGAACCCACAAGGCAACCGACAACTAAACGGAGAAAAAGGAAAAACTCTACCAGCAGCACTTCTAACAGCAGTGCTGGGAACAACGCAAACAGCACCGGCAGCAAGAAGAAGACCCCAGCTGCAAACCTGAGTCTGTCCAGTCAGGTACCTGTAAGTCTCGCTTTCCTTTTAGGCCTGCAATTCAGCCTTTACCTGCCTTGCAATTCCAGGGGCCCATGTTAAAGCCTCTCTAAGCTGCAGATACCTTCTGGGCTGGTTGGGGGTGGAAGAGGGTGGCAAGGACGGGGGTTGGGATGGGAGGGAGAAACTCTGCAATGGAGACCTGCCCTGCACACTGGGAATGAGGAAGGAATATTAAGAGTCTGAGTGCAATGAGACCTGAATTAAAAACCTGTCAGAATTACAGACAGGAGATATGTCACTTAAGGTTTAATTAAAATATCACTTAGCAGCATGCCTGGTGGCTTATAAGGGGCTCTCAGCACCATCACTGGAGACCCTGTGGCTCCACTAGAAACTAGCTCCTGGCGCACAGGCTCCGTCTTGTAATTTGACTGGGCCCTCCCGACTTGAGCATCCCTTCTCATTTTAAGACTCAGGTAATTAACTCTTGACCACTAAAAATGTATCTCAGTGGGCTCTGCTTTACCAATTTAATTAGCTCAGAGGGAGGGTCAGCCCCAGAATGGTGTCAACTATCTTGACCTCTTGACCCCTTTCTTTTATTTCTGGGTCTTGACAAAGGAAATGGACCACTTAGAAGGGGCTTCTTTGCACTCCAAAGCTGACAGCTCAGGAGTGTCCCCAGAGAATGTACCCTGTGCCGGAACTTTCTCCGCCCCCTACTATTTCTTACCGAACTCTGTCCCTTCTGCCTAATTCCTTCCTGACTCTGAATTCCTTGGCCCAGCATTAGATCATTTATCACCTTTCAATTCTCACATGCCTTTAAGCATTTCTTGTCTCTTGTCCCCTCCACAGTTACCTGTGATTTTGCCTTCTCTGCTACCTCTGTCACCAGGCATCTGACTGTTGTTTGAATCTTGACACTTTCATGGAGCTTAATGAATATCCTCTAGCTATCATGTCATCAGAAATGTGCCCCATTTCTTGTTACTCTCCTCAACCCATCCAATTTTACGTTGTCCCTCTTCCTCACTCTTTCCCCTCTTGTCCTGTGCTCCTTCTTTCTCCGCGTGAGAGGGGGCCTTTCTTTCATGGGAATTCTTCACTTAACTTCTAAATGTGTCTTTCCAATCTGTCTCTAACCCACTTTCACCCACTTCCCATTGGTCAGTTCTCTTTGGCTAAAACCAACCCAATGGATATTTGAGAATGACCTGAGCCACTGGGATTCTTCTCCCGGCTTCCATAGACAGAGGGTATAGTTTTCATTCCTGCTGTATTAGAAAGAAAGGGTCCTGGTGAGAGTATCCAGTACCATTTTTTTCTCTGAAAAATACTATTTTAATTTGAAGGCCACTAAGAATTGTAGTCTTTAAATCATGCCAGACTCACCCTTTGTCTTCTGAACTGGGCTATCACCCCTAAAGAGTCAGAGGGAAAAAAAGGAGAAAAATAGAGTATTTTTATTAAGATGCCACCAAGTTATGCCCACTCCTGGTTACATTGTAAAATGCAGAGAAAATGCTCTGGTGTAAATATATCAACCCAAAAGCATGCATAGGTAGCCCGTGTATCATCTAATCCTGGAGTTTTAGAAAGTAACATTTGTTAGTTTCCTTTATGTGACATAGCTACTTAAAGGCACAGTGGCTGCAAGTATTCAATTCAGTTTAACAAATGTTTTCTAAGCTTCTACTATGTGCCCCACACTATGCCAGGCCCTACATTATACCAGGTATTGGCAACACCGAGATTATTTAAAAATAAGAAAAACTCAAGTCCCATCATTGAAGAGCTCAATGACTAATGGAGGGATGGCAAAGAAGTTTCCTCTCTCCTGCCAGCTCAGCCTCCTAGTGTCAGCCATGGGTGACAGTAAGGCCTAGACTGGGTTTAGAGGGCCATCAATTAGTGATGTCTGCCATGGGTATAGAATAGATGGTAGTGTACTTGTCATGTATTTTCACATACCTGACTTAGTCAGAAGCATTTCAGTTTTTTTTTAAAGAGCACATAGTTTGTTCTACTCCATTATACTCCTGTCTTCCAGTCTAATAATAACATCTTAGTGGAATTTACCTATGTCAGGAGGGTTTGTAATGACTTGAGACCCTTTGGACTTCATGAGAACAAGGCATTGTTAGAAAGTGAGAGTAGAATTTCAGCACTATCCCAGCACCATGCAATTAAACATGTTTTAATTAAGTAAAACTTACAGATGGTCAAGAGAGGCAGACAAGGCAACCAGGTTAGGAAAATGTACAAATTTCTGTGTGTACTCTAGTTGAATGGACATTAATGTTAATAAGCATCATGACTGGCTTGTAGTGCCCACATCTTTTAATCCTGTCTGCTGAATTACCAACATGGTATTACTGTTTAAATAGAAATGCAATCTGCAGGCATGACTGCCTCCTCCAAAGGCATGAATAGATTGGGTGTGCCACCACGACCACAGCCAAGGTCTGTCTGGCCGCCCTGGCAGCAACATGTGTGTCTGGCGAGGACTAGGGTTTAATCCTTGGATTCTGCTTCTCACTCCATAAGCAGGGGCTAGGAGCCATCCCGAACTGCAGCCTCAACCCTGGGAGGGATGGAGACCTGTGTCATTCAACAGCAGTGACCCCTTCTGGCCAATTTAAGGAGAAGCATTGAGGGGCCCTGAAAGGAGTCACTTCCAGTCCTCCTCAGAGGTTGGTGGTCCTTGCACGGGGGATTAGTGAGAAGATGTGACATGGGCAAGTGTTGGTGGCACCTCCAGGCCTCCAGCAAGGAGCAGAGGTCTGCCTCACGGGTGCCGAGGGCATACGGGTTACTCTCAGATGGACCAATCTTGCCTCCTGTGGGACACACAAGATAGCAGAGATGGGAAAGGAATGTAAATCTCACTACCAATGTTGAATGTTGTGGGGGGGTTTTAAAGATGTGGGGAGGTGGGGAAAATGGTGCCAAATCCCCTAGTTAGATGCAGCCCAAAATGTGCAGTATGTCTCCATTCACTTTGTGTGAGGATAACAAATCGAGATTACCTGAGTGGAGAACCACTGTCCAAGTGCAGAGGTTAAGAAGACCAGGTAGAGACGTGTGTGTAATTGTGAAAGTGGCCTCAGGTACTTATGAGCATATGAAGTCCTTAGCCCATGTCTCTTTTATAGCTTGAGATCTGTTAACCATGCGCACACGTACCCACATGATTATTTTTTATAATCACTAAAGCAAATGTGGCTTCTCTCTGAAATGTAGGATGCTTACAAAATCTAGACCTGGACATCTTCTCCAGTGGTTCTTTGAACAAAGATACACCAAACATATTACAAGCCTACATCAGCCCCATTTGAAGAGATTGAAATCACTATTTTCATAATACTTTTCTTCAATAACTGTTATTTTCAGATACAGTGAAGGCATCTGGAGTGTTGGGAACATTTTTTCTAACATCACGCTTAAGTTGGCTTCTTACCCATCTCCTCTTTTTCCAGTTGATGCTTACCTCCTCACATGCTCTCAGCCTCTCCCAGTGACACTGGGATCACAGTGCTAATGTGGACCCAGGTGGCCCATTCTAACGTCCTTCTCCTGCCCTGTGACACCCATGCATGTGTTTTCCAAGACCTTAAAAGTATGCTGCCCACAAGCCAAGAAATGAGATTAGCCTCGTGCCATCCTCTGCCCGGCCTTGCCTTATCTTGCCTCCTACCTTTGTTCCTGATCCTAAGCACGGTGTCCTCGTTGCCTATAACTAAGTGGCACTTTTTTATCGCAAAAGCTAACTGGATAGTGTTCACGCCTCTAGGGGGCCTCATTCCATCTACAGTCCTGCCGGCGTTCTTGCCAGAGTCTCTGTCTGTTTTGTACCTCATCTTAGGAGTCCCTCTGAGTCTCCTTATAAGGCAGTGTCACATCTGGCTCTTTGTTACATAATAAATATGTTCTTGGAAACACACATCTGATTATCCTGCCAGTCCCTATATTGCTGAGTTAGTTTACCCGGTTCATATTTTAGACATTTTCTTCCTATGGGACATTTCCCGAGGTGATTAGTCAGAAAACACAGTTTGGAAATCTATTGATTAGTTCCCCATAGTTCTAAGGGGAAATCAATCAATCAATCAACCAATCAAGATTTTCCATTCCAAAATGAACAAGGTGATAATTAAGGAATCTGTTCAATTGGTACCTTCAGAATTCTGGAAGGGACCCGGAGGGCCCAGTGGGCCCTCTCCGACCAGAAGCAGTATTCTACTGTATTTCCCCAGGAAAGCTTCTCTTGCCCCAGTGAAGAGAATTTTTGCCCAGTTGTCAAATTAGCTTCCCAATCAGGAAATGCACCGCTGCATCTCCAAAAGCATCGGGCACAGCCCTGCTATTTCTAGCCTCTCAGAAGCTGGCAGCAGTTGGGCACTTCTCCTGCAGTCACTGCACTTTTAGGTAGACTATTGCTCAGAGCCTGCCCAGCAGAATCCACCTGACAGGTGTCCTGTCCCATGCCCAGGTCACCCATCAACCCCATATGGCCCCCTTTGAACAAAGAGGCCGGAGCTGTGCCCTGTGTATGCGGCCTTCTCCCCCGTCCCCGTGCCTCTCCAGCAGTGGCCTCCACGGTGCTCCCGGCTACAGTAGGTGGCTTACTTGTTTGCATGGAAGGACAGTTTGTACTTAAAGGAGTGATTAGATGGATTCTTCTTGCACGCTTTCCATTTCTGATGACTACCAGCTTCATCAATGTAATTATAATTAGCGCTCTTCATCTTTCTTTTATGGCACCAGCTGGACAGACTGGTTCTCTTTTCTGCCCAGATTGGTGGCAGGGTTGCCTGTGTGGGGATAGGTGACAGGCACCATGAAATAACAGATGGTAAATTCAGGGCTTGTTGGCAATCAGCAGGTTTTTGCTAATGACTTAATTAGCTATGCAAATTGTCAAATCAGTGTGAACATTGTTTTTATCGAAAACTTTACCTAAATTAATTACCATAATTAAGTAGCAGAATGTCAAGGATATTGGCTGCATAAAAGGACCTGGCTGAGTAGAGAAAAGAGAGATTCTGTCTTCAATTAAAATGTATACTGTCCCTGGGACAGAGAGAATGCCATTTGGACTGAGTTGCATGAATATTGCAGGATTGCGTCCTACCCATGTTCATTGCTAGTTTCCAAAGCCATTCAGAGGCCTTAAAGAAAAGTGGCGGATTTTTGGAGGTATCGAAAAGCACCCAGCAGGAGGTTCCACAGCCCTCTCCAAAGTCCCCAATGTCGGCAAGTTAAAAGCGTGGATTTTTTTAATTTTGAAAAATCCATTTTTTTATTTCTGCAGATTGCTAGCATTGCTCGTTCTCCGGTGTCAGGCTGCACACTAAGGACATAAACGCGCATGGTTGTTACACGTCAGGAGGCAGTGCTTATTTCCTGTAGAAATCACATGTGCGTCTCGGCCCCGGTGTACAGTACACGAGTGTGTCTGCCCTAGGCCCCCAGCACCTCCCACTAGTGTTTTAAGCTGAGCTTCTCTCTCCCAAGGTTTCCCTGTAATAATGTCAGCTGCTGTCCACAGGATGTGATGGTGGTAGGAGAGCCAACTCTGATGGGAGGTGAGTTTGGGGACGAGGACGAAAGGCTAATCACTAGATTAGAAAACACGCAGTATGATGCGGCCAACGGCATGGACGACGAGGAAGACTTCAACAGTTCACCCGCCCTGGGGAACAGCAGTCCGTGGAACAGTAAACCTCCGGCCACTCAAGAGTCCAAATCCGAAAACCCCCCACCCCAGGCTTCCCAGTAAGATCGAGCGGCACCTCAATCGGCTGTCGGTAGGCCCGGGGTGACACTCGCTATTCCAGACCCTTATTTACAGGCGAGGGAGGAGGAGAAATAAAAACTTTTCCACACAAACATCTATTTCGAAACCGCCACGATCTGAGTTTCTTTCTCTAATTTTTTTTTTTTTTTTTAAATTGAGAGGACCATTGCAAATAAACTTCCATGACCCTTCCCTGGAGGCCTTCACTGGTAACACAGATACTGGCACTGATCTTAATTAAAACAAGAGCAAATCGCGAGCGCTTCTCCCGGCACAGTGTGAACCACATGTTTGTTCATTTCCTCCCCAAAACCCGTCCCCGCCCAGACCCCAGCATCCGATGAAGGCCATATTGTCAGTAAGCCCTCAGCGCTCAGGATCTCATGATATGCCGACCCTCACTGCAGATGACTTTTTAATATTGTAAAATATTTTCTGCTCTTTGACTTGCATCTAAGAGTTTCTTGTTTCAGTAAAAAAAGAAAAGAAAAAAAATCAGCTTTTGGAAAGTGATTTAAATGTATCTTTAATTTCCTTTGTTTGTTTCTGTCATGTTTTCTTCCGTTGGGTAACAGCTAAGAGGGCCCAGCAAGGTAATTTATGGGCGAGCTAATTAATGTCCATTGGTTTTCAAGCCCGAGTTGGTTCAATTGAGCCCAAGTGCTGAAACAAGAAATGTCTTTTTTGTCATCAGAGAAACCAAGGCAGACTGTTATGTAAAGAAGGACACTTGGCCTCTTGAGAATGTATGCATTTGTAAAATTGCTGTTGATCCAAATATTTTCAAGCCATGGAATCCATTAATTTTGTGGGCAGTTTAATAAACCTGAAACTTTTTGTGTTTTTTATTGTATCTGAGTTGACTGATGTTTCTTTTCACAGTATATTTCTTGTACAATATTTTGTAAAGTCCTCACCTGGTTCTTTCAAGGGGATTTTCCTTTTGGGGCAATTCCAGTGTATTTATGTGAAACTTTATAAGAGAACTAATTTTTCCATTTGCATATTAATATGTTCCACCACACATGTAAAGACACAGTGGTTCCGTGTGTTAATAAACAGCTGTATTTTATGTATGCTTTACTGATAAGTGTGCCAATAATAAACGGTGTTAACAACCAAAGCAAGTGAGTCTGGCTCTCTGTGAGCGTGGGTGAGAAAGCTGCCCACAGGAAGCGGTACTGAACTTGGGTGTATAGCCCAGAGCCAAGTGGAATGAAATCGTGACACCTGTACCATCTTTTATAAAGTACGGTTTCACTCCCGTTCCCTGAGGCTATTTGGACAAGCATAGGAGTGTCTTTTCTGTGCTGGCCATGGTGCTGGCCAAGGACAGAGCAATAAGGAAGGAACTTACACCGTGGGAGCTTGGCTAAAGGAAGGGCAGTGGCTTCCACTGGTTGAGTGCTTATTCTGCACCAAACAACTCTTTGTGAGGTCCACAGACATCCTTTCGGCTGGTCCTCACAACTCCACAAACTAGGCATTCATAGCCCCATTTTAAAAAATCAATGCCTCACTTGCCTTTTCTTCTAAAAAATATTAGCTATAAAGAATATGGAAAATTCACTGGAGGATTTTTCTTTTCAAGAACTTCCTCCTGGTTTCCCACTTTGTACCAATGAGGACGATGAGAAAGGAAAGCTGTGAGCAGGTGATGAATGTGTATTAATGCCAGGCAATGTCAATTGATCATCTCAGCAAATTTTGGAAAGGGGATTAGACAGAGAAACTAAGGAAGAGCCCATGTCTTACATTGGGATTCCCAGAAGCAGAGCTTGAATCAAGTTTCAAGGGCACAAGATTGATTGAGGGAGTGTTCTTCAGGAAGAAAAGCACTTTTAAAAGAACAATGGGGAGCAGGCTAGGGAAGGGGAAAGAGCCTAGAAAAGCTATAGGTAGTCTACTTCCTGGGCCTGGTCCATGGCGGGAGGGCTCTGAGCTTGGACGACATTGCAGAGTTTTCCCTCGTGAACTAAGCCAGCACACCCTTGTGCACCTGTACCAGTCAGTCATTGGCTGGGGCCATCCCCAGGGTGTGCAGGAGATCATGACCTTCAGCAGTATGGCGTCCATGAGCCAAGGGCAGCTCTGCAGAGAAGAGGCTAACCAGAAGGCAACAGTCATAGCCCTTTGGCATGGGTGTGCATCTGGGCAGGCCACAAAAGTCCACTCCATGAAGTGACTTATCCCGTCTCACAGCTCCTGAGTGACACAGGATTTGAATCTGCATCTCCCTTGACTACAAAGTCTGGGTTCTTTCTAGAACATCACATCGCTTCCTTAGAACATTAACATTTTGAGGGAAATGCAGTACAATGGCCACAAATCCAGAAGAAACACAGGGTAGCAGCTTCTTTATTGCTTTTCTACTAGTGTACTGCCAAGAAAACTTCTAATTTATCCCCCATCCTCCCTTACCATTTTAGGTTTTCTTTCATCAGTTCTTGAAAGTCGCCAATATGTAATCAGGACAGATAATGCCTAGGACAATTTGACACCCTTCCAGTTATCTAATGCTGCATAAAAACCAACCTAAAACTTAAGAGATTCAAGAGGACGATTTATTACTATCAGTTACTCTACTGAGAGTCCACCAGTCTGTGCCAGGGGTCTGCACTCCGAGGCTCACATGCTGGCTGGGGATGGAATCATCAGAGGCTTGCTGGGCTGCGCATCCAAGACGGTGCACTCACACCGCTGACTACTAGGTGGGAGCTTAGCTAGTGCTGTTGACTAGAGTGACTTTCTGTAGGCTCTCCATGGGGTTCTCATAGAGTGATGGTTGCCTTCTGAGACGGAGGTTTCCAAGAGCCAGCATCTCAAAAGAGGAGACACATAAATTGCCAGTGCCTAGAACTGAAACGGCATCATTTCTTAACACTGTGCATCAAGGCATCCCAGACTCAAGGCACAAACTCCACTCCCTGATGGGTAAGTAGCATGTGCACATAGAGCAGGAGGAATTGATGGCAGCCCTCTTTGGACACAAACATCTACAGCAGCCACCACAGCCCACAACCCACTCCCCCCTTGCTTTATTGTGTCTTTAACCCCTCCCCACTCATGCCTGATTCACCAGCCACCTAGTCACATGCATCATCAGATATGTTTTTCCTCTTAGAATGTCACCCCCTACCTTCTTATATAACCAAAGCTCTTCATCTTTAAAAAGCCAAGCTTGATTCTCATGTCCCTGAGGTGCCTCGCAGCCCGGTTCAGGGGCTTTTATCCCCTCTGGGGTCCAAAAGCCCTTGGTTTGTGCTCTTAGCATTTGCCTTAGAAGCTGTTTTTGTTGAATAGCCCTATTCCACTAGACTTTTCTAGGCCTATGCATTTCATCATTTCCATCTGAATCCTTAAAATCTAAACTTTATCCTGTATGTCAGTGGACTAGATACAGTTAAAAACTCCTAAGCAAGAAATCATGAAACCCCTGTTTACCATGCATTGTCCTATTAAGTTTCAAACAGTCTGTATTCAATGGCACAACATAGGGTAACACTTTCCCTTCAGGCATGGAAGAAGGTAAGAGGTAGACAGAGATGGGTATGTTCAAATTTCTCAGAGGCAAATTAGCATAAAGCAAACATTTTACAAGGCATTGGCCTAAGCCTACCATCTCTTATAGAAACTCCATGAGATTTGTCAGGCCCAGAATAATCCTAAGGGCAATCATGTATGAAGGACACACTATGTGCCAGTAACTGCTGGGTGCTTTATCTGGGTGGTCTGCAACTGGAAGCCCACAGGTGGTGCATGAGTTGGTTTGGCTTTGTGATAATCTCCAAATCTCAGCAGCTTGTGACAACAAACATTTTTCTCATTCAGTCACCTGAATGAGACACCTGGGGAGACTCTGCTTCTGGTTTGTCCCGGGTCTTTTTCTGGGACAATGTCTCTCCAAAGCATGCTCTTATCTTGGCAGATTCTGGAAGAAGTGAAAGATGATAGGCCAAGTCACATGCACACATCTGCCCACGCTGCATCCATTAGCCAAAGCTAGTCACAAGGATGAGGCCAGTATCAGTGGGCTGGGGAAATACACTCTGCCTCCTGCAAAGACCCATGGCAAAGGGTATGTCAACAACTGGGAATCCAGTTTAATCTCTGGCAGCCTATACAACAATACTGAAAACTTCTAAATCTTTTCCAACATTTAAAAACTAATGCACTTTCTGTAAAAATTAAAACACATTGCTTGTCTTAACAAATCAGATCTGACAATGTACACTCACCCTTTGATTCCCTGGGTGGTAATCAGCTGACTCCAGCTTGCTGCAGTCAATCCACTTCAGTCGCTCACTTTACCTGCCTGGCTTCTCGTAGTTACTGTATCAGTTACATGCATGCTCTCTATTCCTTAAAACCACCTTAAAACTCCAAAAAGTGGAGGTTGGCATATAAACCCCATTTTATAGGTGAGACCGATGCTCAGCCTGGCTAGTTGATACCATTTGTCACACAGCTAACAAGTGGTTAAGCAGGCTTTGAACCCGGGTCCTTTCACCAAACCACAGTAACTTAATAATCCCAATAGTGGCTACCCTCTGTGGGTTACATGACAAGCCTGATTGCACTGAATCTTTGCAATGCCCCAGTGGGTGAAGTATTACCCCCAATTTGCTGATAGGACTTAGAGCAGTTAAACTGTTTACCCAAAGTCACAGAGCTCATAAATGACAACAATATGTTGACTTGCCTGAACCACTTTATTAGACATCCTGGCAGGTATACATCTTGGGTCAGCTGTTTGGAGGTGTTCTCTAGCCTAGGAGAAGGGTCCTGGCATCTACTTCTCTGCCATTCACTATGTATTTTCAGGGGTTGTCAAAGAATATGCCAGAGTTCAAGACTTGCCACTTAACTGGTAATGGAACGAAGCAGGGAG